TTGGTTCCTGCCACTCATGTGGGAGATCTGGATTGGGTTCCTAGCTCCGAAGTTCTGTCCCCTAGCCTTGTTTCCTAGTAGGCATTTGGGGAGTACACCAGTGGATGGGAGTACTTTATCTATTTCCCTTTCTCTGCCTTTCAAAAATTTCATTGAATTTTTTTAAGGTTTTGTTCTAGGGTATCTTTCTTTTTTTTTTTTATTTTTATTTTTATTTTTATTTTTATTTTTGACAGGCAGAGTGGACAGTGAGAGAGAGAGACAGAGAGAGAAAGGTCTTCCTTTGCCGTTGGTTCACCCTCCAATGGCCGCCGCTGCAGCCGGCGCACCGCGCTGATCCGATGGCAGGAGCCAGGATCCAGGTGCTTTTCCTGGTCTCCCATGGGGTGCAGGGCCCAAGCACCTGGGCCATCCTCCACTGCACTCCCTGGCCATAGCAGAGAGCTGGCCTGGAAGAGGGGCAACCGGGACAGAATCCGGCGCCCCAACCGGGACTAGAACCCGGTGTGCCGGCGCCGCAAGGTGGAGGATTAGCCTATTGAGCCACGGCGCCGGCCCAAGTATCTTGTCATCTTTGTCTATGTTATCACCCTTAGGTGACCTATTTCATAAATATGGTGCATGTGCAATTGCACGTGCACATGTGCGTGTACACACATACATACACACACAGTTCCTACTTGAGATCTTCACTTAAATAACAATGAACCTAATTCAACTTCTCTCCCTTGAGGCAAGTGTCTGGCTAGTGTCTAAGACTTACGATCTTTCTCATTAAATCCTGTTCTCCAATCCAACCCTTTCTTAATGTTGGCTATCGTCATCCATATTTCTAAGCCGAAAGCTTAACAGTCATCCTTCTCCATCATTAAACCCCATATGTGATCTACTACCAAGTCCTTGTCAATTTTCCTGCTCCCATTTCTGTTAAAGCACTCATTTTCCTGCACTGCCATCTCCCAAGTCCAGATTACCTGCATCTGCCACAAAACCATCATATCTCCTATCAAGCCTATCCTCCTATCTTCCTTTGCTCCTCTCCAATCCATTCTCAGTCACTGCAGCCATCTCTTTGAAACACAAATGTAATCACATTATTACCCAGTTTGAAACACATCTCTAACTTCCTGCTGTTCTTAGGACAGAAATAAATAATAAAACAGTCCTGCATAGTTAGGCCTCTATGGACTTCTCCAGTCACATCTCATACTCTTGTTGTCAGTATTCCAGTCACATCTCATACTCTTGTTGTCAGTATTCCAGCCATTTAATTCCTTCCTTCCTTCCTTTTCTTTCTTTCTCTCTCTCTCTCTCTCTCTCTCTCTCTCTCTCTCTTTCTTTCTTTCTTTCTTTCTTAAGACAGAGTTTCAGAGAGAGAGAGGGAGAGAGGGAGAGATAGGGAAAGAGATATCTTCCATCTATTGGTTCACTCCCCAAATGGTTTCAATGGCTGGTGTTGCTCCAGGCCAAACCCAGGAGCTCCAAACTTGAATCAGGTCTCCCATGTAGGCAACAGGCGCTCAAGAACTTGAGCCAATGCCCTCTGCCTTTCCAGGTGCATCAGGAGGGAGTTAGATTGGAAGTGGAGTAGCCACTCAAACCTGCACTCACATCAGATGTGCTGGGATTGCAAGCAGTAGCTTAACCCAATGTCCCACAACACTGGTCCCCCAAGTATTTCATTTCTTTGTGGTTTGAAAACTTGCCAAAGGAGTCATGCATACAAACACTCTTCCTCACTAAACCCATCCCTACTAACCCTTATTTTTATATCAGATTTCAGCTCTACAATTAGTTTCTTAGGAAAGTTTTCTCTGATCTACTGGAGTAGTTAAAAATTTCTCTTTCAGGAAGGAAGTTAAGATCCCTGTATCCCTTATCAGAGTGTATAGGTTTGAGTTCTGCCTCTGGCTCCTGACTTAAACTTCCTGGTAGTGCAGATCCTAGCAGTGGTAACGGCTAAACTAACTGGGTCTCTGCTATTTCCTTGTGAGAACTAGACTGGGTTCTTATCTCCCAGCTTCAGCACTAGTCTGATCCTGGTGTGGGTATTGGGGCAGTAAATGAGCAGATGGGAGGTATCTCTCTCTGTCCCTGCCTCTCTCTCTGCTTTTCAAATAAATGAGTTAAAACAACCAACTGGGGCCAGCATTGTGGTGCAGTGGATTAATGCCCTGGCATCCCATATGGGTACCAGTTCAAGACCTGGCTGCTCCACTTCTGATCCAGCTCTCTGCTATGGCCTGGGAAGGCAGCAGAGCATGGCCCAAGTCCTTGGGCCCCTGTGCCTGCATGGGAGATCTAGAAGAAGCTCCTGGCTCCTGGCTTTGGATCAGCGCAGCTCTGGCCATTGCAGCCAATTGGGGAGTGAACCATTGGGTAGAAGACCTCTCTCCCTCCCTCCCTCCCTCTCTCTCTCTCTGTGTGTGTGTGTGTGTGTGTAATTCTGACTTACAAATAAATAAATAAATCTTAAAAAAATAAAAAATAAAACAACCAACCAACCAACCAACACTCTGCCCTGGGGCAGGAGCCTGGCCTATCAAATCACTAGGGTTTGAGTTCTGACACAGTTACTGATTCTAGCTGCATGCTAAGGCAGACTCTGGGATGCAGCTGGTGATAGGTCAGTTCCCAGCTTTGGCCAGTGCAGGCACCTGGGGGATGGGTCAGCAGATGGGAGCTCCCCTCCCTGCTTGTCTCTCAGATTAAAAAAAAGAAAAAAATTCCCTCTTATGAGTCTACAGTACAATGTACCTCTCCCCTTCTTGAGTCGCACTTAATGTAGCTATTATTGCAGCTGTATTTCTGTTATTCAGTCTCCCTTAATAAAAGTTCCACCAAAGGGCAGGAAATTACTCAATGACAAAAGGGCCTGAAACAGCTGTTGATTAAAAAAAAAAATTGTTTGATCAAAGAAAGAATAAAGACTTCCTATAAATTAATGAGAAACACAAGATTAACAAATAGTTAAAAAAATGGCAATTAAAAAATAATTATTAGGGCTCAGCACTATGGCATAGTAGGTTAAGCATCCAACTGTGGCACCAGTTCAAGTCCTGGCCGCTCCACTTCTGATCCAGCTACCTGCTGATGGCCTAGGAAAGCAGTAGAAGATGACCCAAGTGCTTGGGCACCTGTGCCTGTATGGAAGACCCAGAAGAGGTTCTTGCCTTTTGGCTTCTGATCAGTGCAGCTTCAGCCATTGTGGCCATTTGGGGAGTGAACCAGCAAATGGAAGACTTCTCTCTCTGAGTGTAACTATGCCTCTCAAGTAAATAAATAAATCTTAAAAAAAAAAAAATAACCAATAAACAAATACTCAACCTCACCAGTGACCAAAGAAATGTAGATATAGTATTTCCACATCTATTAAGTAGATAAAAAGGATAAGACCTAGGCTTTATAAATATAGGCATTCTCATAGCAAACTGATAAGGAGACTAAGTACCACCTTTGTATACAGAATACTTATGAAAAAAATTTTTGCGAGTCTTTAAAAATTCACTTGTAGAAGTCAACAGGTATGTCCAAAGACTGAGTGCAAGGGTTACTACTATACTGCTATCTATAATGGCAAAAGGAGACACATCTCCAAAAATGGGGAGTTGGTTAAACAAAATATGTGATAAATTTATTGAATGTGGCTATTAAAATTATTTCATAGAACATTTAATAAGGAATGCCACGCATGTTATATTAAGTGAAAAAAGTAGGTTTTACTAAGATCCTATTTTTTTGCTTAAACAACAAAAATCAAAATACACACATATAAATACACTTAGGTTTCCCACAGGAAAAAAGACTGGGAAAAAAATACCAAAATATTGTAAGAGTGGTATTTTCTTTTCACTTATTTGCTTTCTGAATATTCTATGATGAGGGGCCGGCGATGCGGCACAGTGGGTAAAGCTGCTGCCTGTGATGCGGACATCCGATCCAGCTCCCTGCTAATGTGCTTGGGCCCCTGCACCCACATGGGAGACCCAGAGCAAGCTCCTGGCTCCTGGCTTCAGCCTGGCCCAGCCCATTGTTGAAGTAATTTGGGGAGTGAACCAACAGATAAAAGATCTCTCTCTCTCTCTCCTTATATCCCCTTCTCTCTGTAACTCTTTCAAATAAATAAATCTTTAAGATGAACATATTTTGCTCTTACAATATGAAAAAAATATAAAAAGCAGTTTAAATGATAGTATTTTGAGGGAAAAAGGATCTATTTTAGTGGCAGTATAGCCAACCAAGAAGTTCTTAATTTTTTTGTTGTTGTTGTTAATAAAGATTTTATTTATTTAATTGAGAAGTAGAATTACAGAGGGAGGAAGACAGAGAAAGAAAGGAAGGTTTTCCAACTGCTGGTTCACTCCTCAAATGGCTGTAATGGCCAGAGCTGAGCTGATTTGAAGCCAGGAGCTTTTTCCAGGTCTCTCACCTGGGTGCAGGGGCCCAAGCACTTAGGCCATCTTCTACTACTTTCCCACGCCATAAGCAGAGAGTTGGATGGAAACAGGAGCAACCAGGACTAGAACCGGCACCCATATGGGATACCAGCACCATAGGCAGAGACTTAGCCCACCAAGCCACAATGCTGGCCCCTGTTGTTATTTTTAAGATTTATTTGAAATGCAGAGTTGCAGAGAGAGACAGGGAGAGACAGAGAGAGAAAATCAATCTTCAATTCACTAGTTCACTCCCTAGATCTTCAATGGCTGAGGGATGGGCAAGGCCGAAGCCAGGAGGCAGGAGCCTTCACCAAGGTCTTCCAGTGGGTGCCCCTCAAAGTTCTCAATCTTGACTGCTGCTTATCATAATTACCTATTAAGTTTTAAATGGGAGGGCACTACTCTCAAATTCATTTTGTAACAACACTGTGACATTATTATTTTGAGATTTTCACTTACTAGGATGTTTTTAACAATTTTCAAGACCAAAGACTCTATATACCTTATATTTTAAAGCTACACAATAAGAGATGAGACTAGAAAAAGCATCTGATGAATTACCGGGTTTCAAGCTGGCATTAATAGGTCTGGCAGCTGCTGCAGCCATCTGCTCCCGTCGAGGATCTTGATAGCTCATTTTACTAATGAATTCAATTGCTGCTTCTATGCTTCTGTTATTAGTTTTTTGAAGAGCTTGTATAACCATATCCTTAAGCAAAGATTAAAAACAAGAAACAAAATTTAAATCTTATAATAAGGGAAAACAGCACTTTGAATTCCACTGGAGAAATTCACAATTAAGAAGAATAAGGCCTCACACCATAATATTAATGTCCTGTTTATAATGACAAGAAAACCCCACACAATTTCAAGTTACTAAATAAAACAAAACAAGCTGTCATGTCTTTCTAATGTTTCCACCTTTATATAAAATATTACTATTTCCTTCCAGGATTAACTTCTTCAGGATATAATCTTGGTAACATGACTCTCATTATTTCTCATTCTTTTTTTCATTGTGATATAAGTAGAAAACTATCAGATTGTTAAAAGATATCAGTCAAAACATTGGAAATGATTTTTTTGTTTCACGATAGCATTTTAGTAAATATTGTAGCTCTAGTAAAGGAATTGCATAGTTCTGGTTATTAAACTCTAAGAGTTTATGCGATGAATACTTCAAATTAGATAATATGGAAAAAGCAAGTTTGAGTTCTAACAGCTCCCCTTTTGAAATGTCTTGAACTACAGAAAGTTATTTAACATTTCTTCAACTATAATAAACTCACAGGATTGATGTGAAGATTCAATTAAAAAACATACAGGGGCCAGCACTGTGGTGTAGCGGGTAAAACTGCCACATCCCCCAGGGGCATCAGTTGAATCTAGCAGCTCTACTTCTTCTTCTTTTTTCTTTTTTCTTTTTTTGACAGGCAGAGTGGACAGTGAGAGAGAGAGAGAGAGAGAGAGAGAGAGGTCTTCCTTTTGCCGTTGGTTCACCCTCCAATGGCCGCCACAGCTGGTGCGTTGCGGCCGGTGCACCGCGCTGATCCGATGGCAGGAGCCAGGTACTTATCCTGGTCTTCCATGCGGGTGCAGGGCCCAAGGTCTTGGGCCATCCTCCACTGCCTTCCCTGGCCACAGCAGAGAGCTGGCCTGGAAGAGGGGCAACCGGGACAGAATCCAGCTCCCCGACCGGGACTAGAACCCAGTGTGCCTGTGCTGCAAGGTGGAGGATTAGCCTAGTGAGCCGCGGCGCCGGCTGCAGCTCTACTTCTAATCCAGTCCTCTGCTAAGGCCTGGGAAAGCAGTGGAAGATGGCCCAAGTCCTTGGGCCCCTGCACCTGCATGGGAGACCCAGGAAGAAACTCCTGGCTCCTGGCTTAGCTCTAGCTGTTACAGTCATTTGGGGAATGAACCAGCAGATCGAAGACTTCTCTCTCTCTCTCTGCCTTTCAATAAATAAATAAATCTTAAAAAAAAAAATACAACAAAACATAAAGTACATAAGCATAGAGCTCAAATGTTAGTGGTGTTCTTCCACTCCTTGTCCTTTATCAGTAACAGAAATTATACATTAACAAGCAAAAAGTATACTGACATTCATTTTTCAAAAGGCAGGCAACTACCTATTCTGGAGGACTGAGTATTTCAAATGATATTTTAAAATGAGAAATGGCTTAGTAACAGGTGAACTAACAGTACTTTATACTTTGTGTTTCTGTGTGGGTGCACACTGTTGAGATCTTTACTTAATATATACTAAATTGATCTTCTATATATAAAGATAATTGAAAATGAATCTTGATGTGAATAGGATAGGAGAAGGAGTAGGAGATGGGATGGGTGCGGGTTGGAGGGAGGTTATGGGGGGAAAAAGCCGCTATAATCCAAAAGTTGTAGTTTGGAAATTCATATTTATTAAATAAAAGTTAAAAAAATTCAATGGCTTTGATGCATTTTTTGCAGATGGTTCAAATTCCCATCAAAACTTCATTATCGTTGGTAATATAGTAATGCAGTAGGTTGACATAGGGCCTGAATACTTGACTGTTGGCATATATAATTAATCCAAAGTAATATGATATAAGATATAAGAGGATTTAAGCAAATTCTTCTGTTCCACTGTTTCCAGAGATTTAAATGTGGTGGATAAGACTTTAAAAAGATGAAATGATTTAACAGCCTTTTCCTAAGTAGGCTGTGATACTATGTATGTATAATTTATACTATATACCAGAAAAATTTTGAATTTTTAGTCATGTCTTTCATTTATAACTTGAGCAAATAAATGTATGTAGCTAAATATTTATTTAAAAAAAAAAAGGTGAACTGGCTACTGACAGACAACCACCCTATGTGAAATGACTGGAGATGAGTATGAGACCAACCAGAGAAAAGTTGTGGCAGAAACCTATTGCCTATTCAAGATTCAATCTCTTCGTTCTTCAAAATGTTCCTGGCTTTGTTGGAAGAAGGGTTTCTGCAATAATTTTGCTATCTCTGATTCAGGCACTGGTTCTTCCTGCATCCTGTTTTATAGGCAGTAATGTGCTGCAGCATGTTGCAACCAAAAAGAAAATGCAACAAACTCATATGAGTGCTAGGCTCTAACATCTTTAAGAGGTTGGGGCCGGCACTGTGGTGCAGCAGGTAAAGCTGCCGCCTGCAGTGTCAGCATCCCATGTAGGCGCTGGTTTGAGTCCCAGTGTTCCACTTCCGATCAAGCTCTCTGCTATGGCCTGGGAAAACAGTGAAGGTGGCCCATGGGGCCGGCGCTGTGGCACAGTGGGTTAACACCCTGGCCTGAAGTGCTGGCATCCCATATGGGTGCCGGTTCAAGACCCGGCTGCTTCACTTCCAATCCAGCTCTCTGCTATGACCTGGGAAAGCAGCAGAAGAAGACCCAAGTCCTTGGACCCCTGCACCCATGTGGGAGACCAGGAAGAAGCTCCTGGCTTCAGATCAGCACAGCTCTGGCCGTTGCAGTGAACTGGGGAGTGAACCATTAGATGGAAGACCTCTCTCTCTCTCTCTGCCTCTCCTCTCTCTGTGTAACTCTAACTTTCAAATAAATAAATAAATCTAAAAAAAAAAAAAAAAAAGAAGGTGGCCCAAGTGCTTGAGCCCCTGCACCCACGCAGGAGACCCAGAAGAAGCTCCTGGCTCCTGCCTTCGGATTGGTGCAGCTCCAGCCACTGTGGCCAACTGGGGAGTGAACCAGCAGATGGAAGACCTCTCTCTGACTCTCCTTCTCTCTTTGTGTAACTCTGACTTTCAAATAAATAAATCCTTAAAAAAAATCCTTAACAGGTGAACCAATGAGAGCTGTCTAAAATGAATCACTAACTTTGTTTAAAGCATCATATTTGCATTTTTTCTTTGTTAAAAGCAAATCAAACTCAATCCCTAACTGATACAAAGATACAATGTGGTCACATTTTATGCCAATCAAACTGCAATTCTATAATAAGATATAAAGAAATTAATCTCACTTTATGTGAAATTTAAAATAATATAAATCACTCAAAATTAAAATTCATCAGGGAGTACTTAATTTTAAAACTTGTTAAGCCAACTGACTATAACTGCATTTATAATATTACCGTATGGCAGTGCCACCTCTGTTGGCAAAAGAACTGGCACCCACTATGTTTTTCAGTATTGTGGGAATCATGTTAAATGTACTGAAGTTTCAGACTGAGATTTTGGTGACTATTATGCTGGTTTTGCTTTTTAAATATTCATTCCTCTGTTTGAAATTTTCTTCCATCTGTAACAACATCAACATCAACATTGTTCATTAAGTGGAGGTGTTGGCGCTAATATGAAAAAGAACACAGTCAAATCAGTAACTTGGAAACAGAAGTCTTACATGATAATTACACTCTTGTTTTTAATGTTTATGAGAAAAAACACACTCTAGTAATTATATATTTATGTGGTCTAATAGTACATTAATCCTATTTAAGATTTTTATGAGAAAATAAACTGAAATATTTGACCTTTTAATTTTACAGTCACAAGAAACAGTCCCTGCCTCAAAAAGGAACTACTTTAAACTTGACATAGAAAATAACAGGAATAGGTTAGGACTTATAAAGTGATAAAATGAGTGATGTGAAAACTTTATAAGAATTTTGATGTATCAAGTTAGGACACTAAACAATATAAATTCTACAAACTAATGGGAAGTTACTAGTTTGAGTGCTTCGCAGAGGCAGAAGCAGATTTCCATATACTTTATACCACCGGTATAAATAATAGCATACCTTCACTATTTGAATAAATGAGGAACAATAAATGAAAAAAATGCTTTCAGTGAAGCAACATTGCTTAATGGGTTATTAACATAAGGTGAGGCCGGCGCCGTGGCTCAATAGGCTAATCCTCCACCTTGCGGCACCGGCACACCGGGTTCTAGTCCCAGTCAGGGCGCCGGATTCTGTCCCGGTTGCCCCTCTTCCAGGCCAGCTCTCTGCTATGGCCAGGGAGTGCAGTGGAGGATGGCCCAGGTGCTTGGGCCCTGCACCCCATGGGAGACCAGGAAAAGCACCTGGCTCCTGGCTCCTGCCATCGGATCAGCGCGGTGCGCCGGCTGCAGCGGCGGCCATTGGAGGGTGAACCAACGGCAAAAGGAAGACCTTTCTCTCTGTCTCTCTCTCTCACTGTCCACTCTGCCTGTCAAAAAAAAAAAAAAAAAATAACATAAGGTGACCATTTTGAAGTATGATTACAATACAGCAAACATCTTTGTAATGCAAAAATAATTATGGTTATTACTGCCAATAAACAAGAGAACATTGACTAATGTGTTAGATTTCTTTATTTTTTAAAACTATTATTTATTTGAAAGGCAAAGTTGGAGAGAGAGAGAGACAGTGAGAGAGTGAGAGAGAGAGAGAGAGAGAGAGAGAATCTTCCATCCGCTGGTTCACTCCCCAGATGGCTGCAATGGCTGGAGCTGGGCCCTTCCAAAGCCAGGAGCCAGGATTTTCTTCCAGGTCTCCCACGTGGGTGCAGTGGCCCAGGCTCTTGAGTCATCTGCTGCTGCTTTCCCAAGTGCATTAGCAGAGAGTTGGACTGGAAGTGGTGCAACTGGGACTGGAACAGGTGCCCATATGGGATGCTGGAGCTGCAGACAGCAGCTTAACCCACTATGCAACAGCGCCGGCCCTTTAGATTTCTTAAAACTGTCTAAACTGAGAGAATATTGAAGTCCATTAAAGATATGGGCCACATCTGGTATGACTTACTATCCTGACTGATGGGCTCATACATCTACTGGATGACCTACCTGACACATACATTATCACATAAGGGCCTTTACAGCCTGTGATTTTATAAACTCTCTTTCCTGAACAACATGTAAAAGGAAAGAAAAAGGTCAATGATTCTCTGTGTTCTTTGCCTTTTGTCTAAAGGAGTATTAGGAAAAATGTGCTCTGGAGAATTTCCTTAATAGTCTAGAAAAACATTATTCCAGCTCTATTTTCTAGTGCAAATCCAGTATTTTAAGAATACTTTAGGGGCCGGTTCTGTGGTGTAGTGGGAAAAGCCGCCACCTGCAGTGCCGGCATTCCATATGGACTCAGGTTCAAGTCCCAGCTGCTCCACTTCCAATCCAGCTCTCTGTAATGGCCTGGGAAGGCAGTGAAAGATGGCCCAAGTCCTTGGGTCCCTGAGCCCATGTGGAAGACCCAGAAGAGGCTCCTGGCTTTGGATCAGTACAGCTCTGGCTGCAGCCAATTTGGGAGTGAACCAGAGGATAGAAGTCCTCTTTCTCTCTCTGCCTCTCTTTCAAATAATTTTTTTTTTTTTTTTAAGAATACTTTAGATAGCCATTGCAGTACACTGACTTCCACAGAGACAGTGCTAGGGCAAGTGACAGCCAGATAGGTACTGGGCAACTCTGTGCCTTGCTGAGGAAAAATAACCAAACATGGGTAAAGGAGATCCTAAAAAGCCAAGAAGCAAAATACCATCATATGCATTCTTTGTGCAAACTTGCCAGGAGGAACACAAGAGGCACCCAGATTAGTTATGTTTTCTATAACCAATTTTTATTTTTTTTAATTTTTATTTTTTGACAGGCAGAGTTAGACAGTGAGAGAGAGAGAGAGAGACACAGAGAGAAAGGTCTTCCTTTTTCCATTGGTTCACCCCCTAAGTGGCCGCTACGGCCGGCGTATTGCAGCCGACACGCTGCGCCGTCCGAAGCCAGGAGCCAGGTGCTTCCTTCTGGTCTCCCATGCGGGTGCAGGGCCCAAGGACCTGGGCCATCCTCCACTGCCCTCCCGGGCCACAGCAGAGGGCTGGACTGGAAGAGGAGCAACTGGGACAGAATCCGGCACCCTGACTGGGACTAGAACCCGGGGTGCCGGCGCTGCAGGTGGAAGATTAGCCTAGTGAGCCACAGCGCCGACCCAATTTTTATTTAAACAATTTCTGCCACCTAAAATATTCATACGTGGGGCCAGCGTTGTGGCACAGTGGGTAAAGACACCATCTGCAATGCTGGTATCTCATATGGACCCAAGTTCAAGTCCGGGCTGCTCCAGTTCCAGTCTAGCTCCCTGCTAATGCACCTGGAAAAGCAACGGAGGATGTTCCAAGTGCTTGGGCTCCTGCACCCACATGGAGAAGGTCCTGGCTGCTGGCTTCCGCCTGGCCCAGCCCTGGCTATTGTGGCTATTTGAGGAGTGAACCAACAGATAGAAGATTGACCTCTGTCTCTGTTTCTCTCCGTCTCTGTAACTGTCTTTCAAATAAATAAAATAAATCTTTAAAATTCATACAAGGTATGTTATCATAGGAATCAAATTTTATTAATAACCAAAATATTATTTAAATTAATGTGCTATAAAAATTCAAAATGAGTTCTGAAAGTAAATACTAAAAGAACTGGGCATAGTGAGCGTAAAGTGAAATTTTAATAGTTTTTTTTTAATTTCACATTTGAACCTAAGGGTGATATGAACACAACCACTCAATCAAATCTATGATTATAATGCTTTCTCCTTACTATCAGCTTCGTATCTTTGGACTTACTATTTCTCCGATAGCTGCTCGGCTTATCAAGCTGGTGTGGCACACAGAAGTCTCTCCCATAGCCTCACTTGCAGCTTTCTTCAACTGCATTTCCACTGTGACTTCATAACCTAGCTTTTTAAATTTTAGAAACTCCAGAATTTAGTGATAATGTATAACAGAAGAAACTAAAGAAATAACAATGACTTTGTTATGTTTGTAAACATAACATTCTTCATTGACAGACACATTGTATGTATACATAGCTAAATGCTTTTAAAAGAAACATTTCAGCATGAGAGTACCTAAAAAGTTTTACAAAGCATAAGGTGAGATTTCTTTGTCTTGTCTTTAAAAATTCTTACCTCATCAAATCCAGCAGCTTGCAAGTCTTGAAACATCTGTGGATTAACTTCTGAAGTACTCCTGGAGGAAGAACTGGTTTCATTGGCAAATGGCAGCAGAGAGTTTCGAATTTCCTGCAAGGCCTTGTGATATGTCCCAAATTTGGGTGGATTCCTAACTTGTCGAGGATCTTCAGTCAACATTTTGCTCATGTTATGCTCAGCCTTTGCAGCATCAGATGGTTTGGATAAATTCCTAAGAGATTCCCGAATTTCTTGCAACATCTGCCGACTGCTGCCAGTGTAGTTACTGGCAGGAAAGGTCTTAGGCCTCATTTGCCTGTAACCTTCTGGCTTTTCACTCCTCTTCATGAAAACATCTATGTATGTAGCCCACACAAAGGACTTCTTTAAGAGCTCCTTGATAGATTCAAAACTTTCTCTTCAGTAAAAGTGGAAATGATCCTTTGTGAACTTCCCAGGAATATTAAATTCTTTATACTCTACACAATTAACCCTATAAAAGAAAAAAATAAATAATAAAAACTATAAGGTGATTAGTAAAGCAGTTTTGGGTATTAGGGGAACACCTCACTGATACAGAAGTTAAGAGAACAAGTTATAGTTCTGGCTCCGTTAAGGACTACTTTAGGATCAGGACAAGTGCCTATTTCCTAGTCTATAAAATGGATTTACCTTATTTACCTTAAGCAATAGTTATGATGGTAATTTTTAAGAATGCCAGAGTTTGGGGCTGGCATTGTGGCACAGCAGATAAAGCTGCTGCCCGCAATGCCAGCATCCCATATGAGCACAGGTTCCTGGCCTGGCTGCTTCACTTATGATCCTTGCTAATGGCTTGGGAAAAGCAGCAGAAGATGGCACAAGTGCTTGGGCGACTGCTAACCAGAAAAGCTCCTGGCTTCTGGCTTCAGCCTGGCTGTTGTGGCCACTTGGGGAGTGAACCAGCAGATGAAGATCTCTCTCTGTCTCTCCCTCTCTGTGTTAACTCTGCCTTTCAAATACATAAATAATATTTTTAAAAATTATATTTAAAAAAGCATGCCTTAGTAAGCACATAAAGCAAATACAAATTCAAGAGAGTACTAAATCAACAATATAACAGACAACCTCTCCTTGCCAATCTCACTCAGCAGCTCCAATTTTTGATTGTACAAATTAGATCTCAGGGTAAGATTTCTTAAAGAACAGGTATGGTCCCTTTAATTAATTTTCATTTTATTTGAAAGGCAGAGCATCAGAGAGAGACAGACAGAGAGACTCAGAGAGATCTACCTTCCATTGGTTCTCTTCCCAAATGCCTGCAACAGACAGGGCTGTGCCAAGTTGAAACCAGGAGAGCAGAACTCAATCCAGGTCTCTAAGTGGGTGGCAGGGATCCAAGTACTTTTATTTTTTATTTATTTATTTATTTATTTTTTGACAGGCAGAGTGGACAGTGAGAGAGGGAGACAGAGAGAAAGGTCTTCCTTTGCCATTGGTTCACCCTCCAATGGCCGCCGTGGCCGCGCGCTGCGGCCAGCACACCGCGCTGATCCGAAGCCAGGAGCCAGGTGCTTCTCCTGGTCTCCCATGGGGTGCAGGGCCCAAGCACTTGGGCCATCCTCCACTGCACTCCTGGGCCACAGCAGAGAGCTGGCCTGGAAGAGGGGCAACCGGTACAGAATCCGGTGCCCTGACCGGGACTAGAACGCGGTGTTTCGGCGCCGGAGGCGGAGGACTAGCCTATTGAGCTGCGGTGCCGGCAAGGGACCCAAGTACTTGAACCATCACCTGTTGCCTCCTAGGATGCACATGAGCAGGAAGATAGATGGGAAACAGAATAGCTAGGACTTGAACCAGGCACTCTGATATGGGATGCAAGCATCCCAAGCAGTGACTTAACTGCTGTGCCAAATGCCTGCCCTGAGTATTGTTGCCTATAAAAAGATTTTAAAAACACCAGTCCAGAAGACACCTATATGCTTCAAAAACAGATACTTGGGTTTAGTTTCTTAACTGTACAACACGACTATAAAGACAGTAGGCTTATCAACAATGGGACAGGAAAAGGACATGTGAGGTCAGCTTGTCTTTTCCTCACTTAGGCATGAATGTCTTCTATAAAACACTGAAAGAATACTCAACTAACGTCTACTTAAATGTCCCACTAACAGGGAATCACTAACTCAAGAAACATTCCATTTGTGATCTGCGGTAACTGTCAGAAATATTTCTGAGGCCGGCGCTGTGGCATAGTGAGTAAAGCTGCTGCCTGCAATGCCGGAATCCCATATAGGAGCCAGTTCATGTCCAGGTTGTTCCACTTTCCGTCCAGCTCCCCACGAATGCGCAAAGGAAAGCAGCAGCAGATGACCCAAGTGCTTGGGCCCCTGCTACCCACGTGGGGGACCCATTAGAAGCTCGTGGATCCTGACTTTAGTCTGGCCTAGCCCCAGCTGTTGCAGCCATTTGGGGAGTGAACAAGTGGATGGACGATACCTCTGTCTTTCTCTCTCTCTCGTAACTCTGCCTTTCAAATAAATACATAAATAAATATCTTTAGGAAAAAAAAAAAGAAATGTTTTCATCATGTGCAGCATCATGAAACCTCACTCAGTGCCTACCAAGAGCCTGTTACAGGCCAGCACTAAACAATTTTGTCTACCTTCTGATCTAGTGGTCTGAATGTCTCTGTGCAGTAGGTTTGCTACTTTATAGATATGAGAACTACAAATTTAGAGAGTTTGGCTAAAATAGTATGTAAGTAATATTGCTAGTATTCGAAACACTGCTAATTATCCTCTACTGGGAGCTAATTTCTATTCTAATTAAGTGTGACTACCATTCATGTTACATCAATCTATCTATCAATAGTTAGATCCATCAACAAACAGACAGATATACAGGCAGGGAGGAAGTGGAAATGGGGGTGAAAGAGACTTCTTGTCATTTAGATCTCAGTTCTGTTACCTCTTCAAAGAGCCTCTACCTACTCACCAGATTACACTCTTTTCTTTTTTTCTCAAAGATTTATCTGAAATGCAGAGTAACAGAAAGAGAAAGAGAAAGAGAGAAAGACAGAGAGAGATATCTTTCATCTGCTTGTTCACTTGCTTTTTTTTTTTGTTGTTCACTTCCAAAATGACCACTATGGCTAGGGTTGGACCAGGCCAAAACCAGTAGACTGGAACATCAATCTCTCATGCAGGTGGCAGGAGCCCAGGCATTTGGGCAATCCTCTGCTGCCTTCCCAGGCATATTAGCAGGGAGCTAGATGTGAAATGCAGCAGCCAGGACTTGAAATGCCATTCTGATATGGGAATGCCAGTGCTGCAAATGGCAGCTTAGCTCACTGTGCCATAATGCAGTCTGTTTTCTTTTTTGCCCAAAATGATTTGCTTATTTGAAAGGTAGAGTTACATAGAGAGAGAGAGAGACAGGCAGAGAGAGATCTTTCATCTGCTGGTTCACTCTCCAGATGGCTTCAACAGCCAGGACTGAGCCAGGCCAAAGCCAGGAGCTAGGAGCTTCATCCAGGTCTACCACATGGCTGGCAGAGGCTCAAGTCTTTGTGCCATCTTCTGCTGCTTTTCCAGGTACATTAGCAGGGAGCTGGATTGGATGTAGAACAGCTGGGACTTGAACTAGTATTCATATATGATGCCAGTGCTACAAGTAGTGGCTTAGCCAGCTGTATTACCCTGCCAGGACCTGGTTTTCTTTTTATTGATAGAATTTTATAGTATCTAAAATTGCTTTACTTCTTTGTTGTAGATTTCTCCTCACTGAAATAAAATCTCCCCGAGAATATAGGACCTTGTATTTCCTGTAACCATTGTCCACCACCAATAACTAAGTCTGGCACATAGCAGATGCTTAATAAATATGTATTTTAAAACAAATGAAATAAACATGTGCATCCTAAACATTCCCATTTTCTTAAGTGCTTCTTAATTCTAGTCATGCTCTTCTAGACATACATGTCAAAACTCTAAAGCTGGTTAAAAAAAAAGAAAAACAGCATTTGCAATGAAAAAAACAATAACAACCAAAAATGGGATTCAAGTTCTTGTTCTGTTAATCATTAGCAATGCAGACTTGGAAACTTAATTCTCTGAACTGACTCCTGCATCATAAAATGGTTAGAGTAGGTAACATCTATGAGATGAATGAGACAAGGTTTAAGAGTATCAGTGCCAGGCCGGCGTCGCAGCTCACTAGGCTAATCCTCCGCCTTGCAGCGCCGGCACACCGGGTTCTAGTCCCGGTCGGGGCGCCAGATTCTGTCCTGGTTGCCCCTCTTCCAGGCCAGCTCTCTGCTGTGGCCAGGGAGTGCAGTGGAGGATGGCCCAAGTCCTTAGGCCCTGCACCCCATGGGAGACCAGGATAAGCACCTGGCTCCTGCCATCGGATCGGCGCGGTGCGCCGGTTGCAGCACGCCGACTGCGGCGGCCATTGGAGGGTGAACCAATGGCAAAGGAAGACCTTTCTCTGTCTCTCTCTCTGTCCACTCTGCCTGTCAAAAAAATAATAAATAAATTTAAAAAAAAATAAAAAAAAAAGAGTATCAGTGCCATACAGCTCCATGAATATACATACAACTATGTGAAGATGAAGGATGTTCCTTGCAATGTCACTGGTAACAGCGAAAGATGACATCAGTCTAGATGCTCATTTTCAGATGGGGCTTCAATAATATGAAGGGAATGTGAATCCTTAATCCTTAAACCACTGGACGGACAATCCCTATTGACCCCCACTGGAATCTGTGTGACCAAGACAGGAATCTCCCTTGTCTTAAGCTACTGATATTTTGGGATTTGTTACAGCAAAAATAAATAAGTAAAATAAAATATAAATTCAAAAGATGCTTGATGGTATTGTGGAAATTGACAAAGACTACACAAATGAGAACAAGCAAAGGCTATATCTATCCAGACTGTGCTATTGGAAGAGTGTCAGCCACTGTCACTTATGCTCATCTGAAGGCAGGCAGAGGGTTAGGAAAGTTTTATACTGAAAAAAGGGGAAGACTTTAAGTATGCTCTGAATGCTGGCATGGGGAAGCTGAAGGTGGGCTAACCAGAAGCAGAGCGTCCTACGGGATTGGTTTGGGAAGCATAACTGGCTTTTTCTGATAATGATAAAAGGTGGTATTACTGGGTTATGTTATTTATTACACTATGCATTCTATTGTTATTTTAGAGTGTGCACCCTCTACTTATTAAAAAAAAAAAAGTATCCTATAAAACAGTATACTGGGTTACTTGGGCAGCAGTCTTGTGTTTCCCTCATCTCTTCACTACATCAAGAGGCCATGTCCAGTGAATGACCTATGCCATCTGAGTTTGTGTATACCCCTGTGATGTTCACACAAAAAAGGGCCCAATGATACATGTATTTTTACAAAAAACATCCCTGCCCTTGAGTGACACAGGACTGCATTATAAATAAGGGAAAAAGTCAAGAAAAAGATCGTTAATTTGAAAGCAGAAACAGAAAGGAAGAGAAGGA